GAATAAAAATTTGTCACAACAAAATAAAATTAAACTGTAATGAAAAATCCTAAACTATTATAATCTTGGTTCTTAAAGAAAGCTCAGTAAATCTACCAGGGATGTCAAACTTTTTTCAACAAACATTATGGTGACCCGCAAAATGCCAGTTGTAATAAATTATTGTTGAATTATGTTTAACTCCAAATAATGACAAAACGTCACATTCCTGGTCTCATTATTACAGCTGAGCACAGCTAACAAACAATAACTTACCTCTACCTGGTATTCACTGCATGGAAACAGTGTTTTAATACGTCCTTTTATAAACTCTGAAAAGTACTATGAATGACTAACTAAATGTGAAATAAATAATACAGAAATACTATTAAAAGTAAAGAAAGTTTTACTCACTTCCCAGCAGAACTGGATTGCAGCCGAAGTAGCGGGAGTGTGAGGATCTGTGTTGTGTTTCTGTCTCTCTCTGGTGTTGTGTGTTCTCATCACCATCTTTTCCTCAGCCTGCTCTGTCTTCTCCTGGATCACTCTCACATCTGTCTGTACTCAGTATCCATCCAGCTGTTTCCACACTTAACCCTGCTGCTATTTAACCAGTCTCTTGTCATCGCTTCCTTGTCTGTTCGTTGTTTGGTTTGCCCTGGATCTCTCCCTTTGTTGCCTGTTCATGTCTTGCTTTTTGCCGCCACAACAGTTTTTTTAAAGGGGCAATATTGTAGTGATGGTGAAATGAAGCTTCATGATGCACTGAAGCTTTCCATCCAACTGGTCCACACGAGTCAAAGCATGGTCATGCTTCATTTGCTCTACTGCGCCATCAAGTGGACAATGATTGTGAAATAGTTTTTAATGACGTGACTTGTTTATGAAGCTTTTAGTTGATTAAAGAAAATGTGTTTGTGTGTCTGTAACTACCACAAAATTCAAGTCAATTCAATTCAGTTTATTTACATAGCACCAAGTCACAACAACTGTTGTCTCAGGGCACTGTACACAAAAACAAAACAAAACAATAAATCCAAAGAAGCCAGCAGACTGCGTCAAATCTTTGCTTCATCACAGTCTCCCATCCTGAGCAGCACATCGGCAGCAGCGGAGAGGAAAAACTCCCCCTGAACAGGAAGAAGCCTCCAGCAGAACCAGGCTCAGGACAGGTGGCCTTCTGCCTGGGTTTGTGGACAGGAAAGAGACACAGACAAAGACAGGACCGGTCTAGTTTTAATTTCCTCTGGAAGAGAGACAAAGAAATTATGTTATTGATAGAAGTAATTATGACAAAAATGTAGAGGAGAGAGAGTAAAGATAAKAGCAGAGTGAGGAAATGTGCTCAGTTTGTCCTCCAGCAGTCTAAGCCTATAGTAGCAWAACTAATTAACTATAATAACTAGGAATATGTTAGGAAACCTAAGTTTAACTATAGGATTTATCATAAAGGAAAGTCTTCAGTCTTTCCTTTATGATAAAGGAAACAGAGTGTCTGATAAAAAACAGAGTGACAGAGTGTCAGCCTCACGGACAGAAACTGGAAGTTGGTTCCACAAGAGAGGAGCTTGAGAACTGAAAGCTCTGCCTCCTATTCTACTTTTAGAAACTCGTGAAAGACGTGATAAATGCATGAATCAGTTTTTCTGCGTCATTTTTGGACAAAATGTTTCTAATTTTAGTGATATTACGC